TGGTTAGGACTCTCGCCGACTATGCACATAGTCCGGGGTTCGATGCCCTGCCGGCAAACACCCGATATCTATGGTCGGCCTGCAAAATTTGGGCTACCGATATCCATGCTGAAAATTCCATATTTGTACTGAAAATACGGTGTGGCATCAAGCTGCAATCAAAATAAAATAAAATAAAAATATACCATTTTGCATTTTGTGTCAACTAGACCATCTGGGATTCACATTTTCATTGGCTGAGAGCCATTTTCGTTTCAGCCATTGCGTTCCTATTGTATGGATGCCGAATAACCTCATATTTTACGGTTTGTAACCGATACGTTTTGTTTAGTGGCACAATGACCCTGACGTTTTTCCACAATGGTCAGCCACTGTACCTTTGGAGCGACGACAAATGCTATCACGGTGTATTTTCGCTCAGAGTATGAGTCATCCCTTCATGTCCAAAGGGGCGATATAATAACGTTTCTGTGAAAATGGAAGTAGGATTAGTTTTATTGATCTGAGGTCGGAGCACCTAATATTTTCTTGTGGTGAGGTGGTTTTGTTGCCTAAACGTGTTTCGATAATGCAGATGAAATGTCGAGAAGAAAAGCAAGCTCTAAGAGAAATTATGCATAGAAATGACCTCTAATTCCGTTTGGATTCCTTAGGGGTTTGGTATTTCTGAGTGGTTTCTTATTGTCCCGTTGTAAACTGAATACCAGCGGCAGTCATTCGTATGCCAGTTATTCTACGAGGTTCAGTTCATTGGAGAAGGATAAATCCACAGACGTAGGTTAGATATCTGTTCAGCGGAGTGCGTGAGTTATGTGAGCTACTTTATTTTCGTGTGGGTTGAATGAAGTCGTTCATAACACATCGAATAAATTGTATTTTGAATGGAGCATGCGACAAAATTTTGCAGTGATCATGTCCATTTTGATGAAGTTCACAGTTGTTCGGCTGAAGAGATGATACCAATGGGATTTACGTAGTCACAAGGAGTGACCGAGGACCCTAACTGCTTAACCCACCATGTATCATCAGTTTATCTTTATCGTAGTGTGCCTTAGGACAAGCGGAGTACTTTGTATGGTCCTTCTGAAGTGTAACACCGCTTACAGTTGTTGCTGTACTGCCGAGTAGCAGCAGGCAGTTGTATTCTACTACTAGTATACCCCTTACACTGGTCATATCCCTCCTAATGTTCATTCATTTTTAGATCAATAGGATGTTCTGAATTCTTTTGGCGGCCATTGGCGGCTATGAAGCTTGTGAAATTTACACTGACTAATATTTTCAACTAATATTTTCAGCCCTATCTGGAGGAACTTTGTGATCAGATTAAAATGATTAACCATATGCAATTACTGCATATTATCACCCCTGAAGGGACAGTTGATGAACATGAAGATGGTACCAAGCTTCCTTTCAAATCGACGGGAATGCTACAAATTGTTGATGAGAAACTTTGTATGTATATATGTATCCTAAGTTTTCTCTGCTGACCCGTAGAAATTCAAATGTGGCTGGAAGACGTAATCGCGTAACTTTAGGTAGGCATTTGGGCTTCACTAAAGTGTGTCCAGGTAATTACCCTTAGAAAATAACAGTGTTCGTACCGAGTTACACCCACGCGTGTCAAGCTGTCAATATCCTAGGGGGTACCAATCTAGCTTTCCGTTAACCCGCCGTAGGTATATTAAATGGGACACAAGCAAATTAGAGCAAAATTTTTATTTCAATGTAACATAAACGAAGTTTATTTAAATATATGGAATGAGCAGAACACGAAACAGAAGTCGCCGTTTGGAAAGTATCTCCCATTATTCGGTGGCGAATGTCTAGTATCCAAACTGCGTCACGGCTAAATTCGTTTCCAATCCAAGCAAACAGTTCTGGACCTACATATGCAAAGATATCCGGTATCACAAACTTGAATAAAGAATACCTGGAGGGTTATTAGTGAATGATTGAACTTTCCTTCCCTTGTTGGTGTTGTAAATAGAACCAATTCCTAAAACTGTTTTTGTAACTGTAAACGCACTCATTAGTGAATTTCGGGTGTTTTCAAAAGCAGTGTCAAGGAAATTTGCTGTAACCGAAAGACGACTGTCCAGAACTCAGAATACTATTTTTCGTATTCAGTAACCTACCCGATCTCAACACAAGCGGCATTAAAAGACGGACGGTAAGTCACAGATTTATTTATAAACCAAGTATAAGCCATTATAGCAAGTTAATTATACAGCAGCTTGATCGTATGATTCATGGTTAGTTATTATCAATACACTTACAAAGACTACAAATAACATCAGCATAATATACACCTGGCAGTATTGCTTATATCAATCTCTTATCAACGAGCATACGTTTGAACTACGATAAAGGTTGTTGCCTCCAACGAACAGGAAACTGGTTCGAATAAACAATCCAGTGAACGTTCACTCAATGTCCACCAACAATGACAAAAGTCTTCGTCCGAATGGAGCTCCATTAGATTCCCATTGGACTTAAATAACTGAAAATCTCATTACGTCTTGATATGCAAGAAAGTAGTACAGATCAAATTCAGAGTACACTATTTTGTAGGACGTCACCAAGTAATAATGATGGTGGTTTATTTACAAAAATTAAGCATTTACATGATAAACATGCCGTTTTTACAGCCATGGTCATATATGAGTTAGGTATTCAGTAATTTCAGTTATCAAAGTTTATACCTGTTTTGGGATGTGAAACACATTACTGCACGAGAAATGCCGTGAAAATGGGCTTGGCGTACTTACGCGTATATTGCATCATCAGCTGCTAGTGATTGTAACATCGAATTGCACTACTAAAATACATTTATCAGTACCATTTTTGCGGTCTGAGGGGCCAAAATATTAAAAAGTGGATACCTAGGGGATGAAAGTTCCGTAAAATTGTCTCACTACAGTGCTAGGTGATGCGAAAAGAGGGTGAGCAGTTCCAAAATTTAGGCCTTAAATATACATCGTAAGGTTCCCCTTAAGACTTACTTACTTAAAAATGTACTCAGAAGCAACATTAATGCACATACATCTCTCGTACGCGGACTTCTCTCAAAAGGATCGAAGAGCGTGCAAAATATATAAACTGTTAGCAGTTTGCAAGGTCCCTACGCATTGAATGTCTTCCTATGCATTCTCAACTTCCTCCTAATTGAGGAAACTTCCTCTCAGCACAATAACACGAAAAACATCAGCAACGCACGTGTTGGCTTTTCTCAAACTGATAAGTTGTGATAAACCTGTAAAAGAGGCTTCGTTGTCAGTACCCATTATTGCCTATACTCTTCACAGTTAATTCGAAAGAAAGAATATCAAACTGCATAGGTGAAGAGTATTAACGCGTAGAATATTATGTATACAACCGAAACTCACACAGACTCACGGGTTCGTGGTAATTGATAACCACCGCAATACTAAAATAATCACAACTCAGTTTACGACGTTGAAAGCCTTTTAGCCGCACAAAAGACGATTAAACACGGTAAGAATAGCCGAATGTTAAAATTGAAATCATCATAGAACTTCGTAAAGCACACATTACAAAACCACAATATATCAAAAATAGCAGCGGCTATCCATGTTCTATCAAACATTCAACTGACCACCGCAGTTCTAGCCAGTGAGTGACGCGGGATATTCAGGTAAATCAAAGGGGCAATAGCGTCTATCCGCACCTTGCTTGTGGTATTTGGATGCCGGATAATCAGTTTTGAAACAAACAGAATAACTGATTTTAACGGTGACGAAAACCAGAGGGATGCAAAACGCAACAGTAATCAAGGAATCCGCATTGAGATTACTTTTAAATAACTGAATGAGAAATATAAAACTACTGTTTCAATGAATAGACAGCAAGTGACAATACAATATGGCTGACTAAGATGGATGAGAACGATGCCGAAATGCATTTTCCAGTATACAACCTCTAGCGTGCTGGACCATTAAGCTGTATACCTTATTCCTGTCTTATCCTGAGTATTCCAAATACCTAAAAATACAAAAGCATGCTTTGGACAAGTGTATGCAGGCTTGTGAAGCCCACCGTGCATATAGCTGGAAACCTCCATATCAGGGCTATTTATTGGGATTTAGAGACTTTGTGTACCACCATATCTTGAAGATAATCACTGTTGCCATCCTACCTTGCAGAATAACTTTAAAGTGAATAGAATGACAGGAAATTTTATTGAATGAAGAGTATGCCACATACGCTGAGCTAATTTCGACTAAAGGACAACGATATTACTTCAAGGATTTGTTCGGAAAACGACTGCGGATCCAATTTGAATTCACTTTACTTCATGAAAAATTGTTGAGGTACTAACAGACAGCTCCAAATTTTCTTTAGATGATCGTGCAGTTATGAAGAGCTTCCCCGAAGTGAGTGGCAATCTGAGATTGGGAGGTATACTTCGTGATACGAAGTTGAAACAAGAGGCCATCGTTAATAAATCAGGTTTTAATGGGTTCATCAAATTTGTCGCTTGTTGTTTGTTTACTGCTATTTAATTGCCTCAAAGGCTTTTAACCTTCCACATTTCCGCTGCTTTTCTTTAGCTCGTCTCGATCATATTTTACTTTATTGCTTAAATAGGACAGTTTAGAGGATATGGTGTTGACGTTCACGGATAGTACGAATTATACTAACGCAAGATCTAATACCCACAACTTCTATAGTATTCGTTCCGCGCAAACCAAAGGCAAAGCAAAACGGCAGAAATGATCGTTCAAGTTACGAGTTAAATTTCGGGACAAAATCGGAGTGCGAGTTGATTGCTCAACTAACTAGGGATCGTGCACGAAAGAACGAACGTAACACGACGGCGTGCCAAATAGTGTAGATGCCTGACCGGAAGCCTTCAGCTAAAAAGTTGATTAAAACAGTGATGATCAGCACCCAATTTTCAATGATTAATGCTGTGGCCAATAATTCTGGGGGATTACCTACCACTAGAACAACAATGCAATCTTCCTACTGTGCATCAGAAAAATAACGGCCACCTGAACGCTGAATAAGAAATCACTTCAGTAATGAATAGGCATTCATGATGTTCACTTAAATTTACACAACTTGCATTTAATATTTGTTTGTTGCATGATTGACATTTAAGACTGAAACCGCATGTTTTGCCTTCGACGCTACTTCTGCAATGTTCGAGTCCAGAGACTACGTTTCGGATTATGAGTCCGAAACTAACAGTAATCTTGATACGAATAGTGAGATAAGGTTGTTTGCTTTTTGCGTTTTTGTAAAATGCCTATTGTCCACTAAAATTGTGGTAGCCGATCCGATATACCTCCGTCAAAGGACAAGGAGCTTTGGGAAAAACCTACTACAGCTAGGTTTCCGGCTTATGCTAATGCAAAGTCTGTCTGGGATGCAGAAAACAAAAGGTATAGCATGAATAATAATTACGCTATCTTTTTAGAGCCTACAATTCTGTTGTTCGACATCATCTATTGAATCTCAATGCTGTATCCTTTGATAACGACCTTGTGCCTGTGTTTGTGTACATGTTACATGCATTTATTCTCGCCATTTTTATAGGCCTTGAAAACTAAGCTGGCGAGCAGCAGATTGTATGCTCACAATCAATTGTGGAGGATATCAGTAAAGATGAATGTCCACCGGCGCTGTTCACTGAGCGCTGAGTTAGTTTCATATGTTGTTTCCGACTATTGAAACACACTGGTGAATTTTATGCCGAAGTTACTGAAGGCATCTATGGTTCTTACTCCCTAATTTAAACGAAAGTATGAGGCATATATTATATTGACCACAATGGCATATAGACAGAATATTCTTTAAAAGTAACTTATTTTCCGTGAATAAGTTACTTGTGACGCATATATCACATGAAGTGGTAAAATATAATCACATCAACATTGTTCAAAACAAACTGGAGATTCAGATGTATCTCCGTCTCTGGCATTATCACATATCTCTGGTATCATTTTGGCAAGTTTGTTATCTTCCTATAAACCTGTTATCTAGACGCATCTGGTCAAAGGTATCTGGATGTGATTTTATACAAGTGTGATGGGTGTTTTTCAATCCTGTCATCATTTAGTTGATTTCTGGATGCGTACGACTGATTATTCAGAATTGCATAGGTGTCCATCCATTAGCATTGTTATATTTCAATTTGCCGACTCACTCCTTCTTGTTATTATCACATTTGTCTTACAAACGCAAATTATCATTTATTAGGGAATGTATAGTAGATGCCCCAAGGTAATTCGGAAAGTAAGCTTTAGCGAGCCCACTCTCTAAATCTCCCAGCATATTTTAGGTTATTTTTCGATTTAATATACGCGGGACTTATCGTTTTGCAGCTTTGAAGCTAAGTTAACTATCTTACTCTACGATGTACTTGTGAAATTTTTTTGTGTTCCTTTACGTTCACAGTGAAACATAGGGCTTCAAGCTAGAGGCTTGAAGTTTCTGTAGCAGTGGTGATTATTTTTACAGGATGGGATTGCTAACCTCATTCCCAACCTTCCCTCTTTACCAGTCTTATTACTGGCTTAGCGAGGTTCGGGAGTGCGTCGGCTGGGGATCGAAACCCGGACCACCTGCGTGGTCGGCGAGCACTCTACCGCTGTGCCACCGAGGCACATATGCTTCTAAAATGGTTGTTACTTATTGATTTAGTCTACTGAACCAGAATCGTTTTTCTTGAGTCTTGCTTCTTGGTTACTCGTCTTTCGTTGTCGTGAATTTGAAAGTTTTGCGAACACCTTTTACGTGATGCTTTCACTGCTCAGGAGGAAAAACTTCCTGCGTTTCATGATCTTCAAATTATTTTGCAGAAATTAGTAGTGATGTTGCTATCAATTTTAAAAATCCTTTAGCTATCTGTTAGTGAACTGCTGCACATCGGTACAAAGTTCTATGTTAAAACCGGTCAGTCAGCGTAATCATAATATACTGCAGTTTATAGTAATATTTAATTGGGGAAAGTTTAATGAATTCAAATTTAGTGGTTATTTTTTGCCGAAACCTTAAATCAAAAAGCCACAGGGCATACAAAGCTATAATCTTTAAGCGGAATCGCGGGTACTCTTTACATTAAAAGGTTGTCTTTTACACCTGAATATAGATCTCTAATTGTTTTAAACATCCTGTTCATGATACTTTTAGATTGCATATTACTACAATGTTTTATTTACTCTTGTCTAAAATACTGTTGATATATTAGAAAAGTGTCTTTTTTTGCAATATCCTTAACTTGAACCCCAATAGTTTGATCGTCATAAAAAGTTAGTAAATGATTATTTGCAATATTATGGTGGCTCATGGAGTGATTTCAAACGTGACACGTAAATTCTCTATTTCTGGTCGGAGGGCGGATATAATTCGGTTTTTTTGTAGTTCAAAAGATAAAACAGATGTTGATGTCATAAGGGAGCATGGAAGATTTTTGTGGTCAGAACAAGATGAACCATTAACATGGTAAGTTAATGATAATGTGTTAAATCTTTCACGATTTCCCTATTTTTAATTATTCCTAAGTGTGCAACTCCTTGTGAAATACGATGGCTTAGTTGTATGTGAACAACTGGATGTTGACTTGATTTATGTATCCTTACACCGTAATCTCCTTAGACTTTGTTAAATAAAACAAGGAAGGTTCTATGCATTTTGGATATATACCCATGTGAAATAAAAACGCACACGTTGCGAAGTTCCGAGTGGTTCAAACTGGGTTTGAATTGATAAGTTATTAAGAATGCAATATTCAGCGAAGAGACTCTTTTCAAAGAATTTATTATCAAGCTGTACAATCGCATATATATGGTTTTTTTATAAGAAATTTTACCCGGTGAGGGAATTAGGTCAAAGGTGTGAATACATGAAATAACAAAATATTTGTGATTATAATCATAGTTTAATGTCAAGTGGCAAAATAATTAATGTCGTATATAGAATAATACATAAGGTGTATAGATTTTGAAAGGGGGTACAGAATTATAGGATTAGTAGGCGAATATAAAATGTTACATAACATGGTGTGGAATTTGATAAGATAGAATTCAATATTGTAAAAAATTTTTAAAAAAATTAATAATTTTAGGTTTAGAATGACAAGTGTGACAAGTGGAAACAATTCAGAGTGAAAATAGTAGTAATAATAATGATAATAATATTAATAATAATCGTAGTAATAAGGGAAAAGTACATAGAATAACTAAATAAACAAAATAAATAAATGTCTATCCCTCTACGGCCAAGGCAGAAGTGGGGATTGTACATACTTCTTTTGTACACAAAGGTCTGGCTTAAAGTCATGAATTGCCAAGGCCTCAGCTGTCTTTAGAAGTCTGTATCAAAGAAAACGCGGGAAGTTAGCATGGATTCTATATATGATCTTAAAGTCATTGTCAGGGTTGGTGGAGTGACAGAAGTCGATCAGGTGTTCTGGAATAGAGCTTCGCACAGACTTCCTTTCTCCCTTGTAAAACCATGCTGGAATATGCTCTAGTATCCGTGTGGAGAGCGTCCTCTGACTACGGCCAATGTACCTTGCTCCACAAGAGCAGGTGAAGTGATAGACGCACATGGAGGCGGCTAGACGGGGGAGCTTATCTTTTACAGAGGTAGAGAACAACTTGCGACTAGTGAACGTCATATAAGTTATTGGCTACTAAATTCAAGTGTTCGACGGGATGAGTCACACGTCCACAAAACCTTTTTGGAAATGTGATAAGATATCTGCCCACTTTTTAAGATGTCATCATTAGTATACCAACTGAGTTCCAACACAGAACTTAGCACCTAAGTGCAACAGTCCAAGTTACCAGACTGCATGTAGCATACAGAGGCAGCCAAAAGCAAGAATAAAAGAGATGTTCAAAAGAACTATGATGGACACAAATGTGTAGGAGATAGATTGATAGCATGGAAAAACACGAGAGTTTGGTAGCTCCCTCAAAATATGCCTTGCAGTCAATTTCATATACTCGATTAGCTAATTCTTCTTTGAAAAGGAACTCGGTGTCTTGGTCAAGTTAGGCGCATATCGGTTTCATTTCTGTCTACCTTTTGTGTTCGTTCAATAGTGGGCGTTTACTTGCCAAGGGAGTATGTCATGATCGGAGTCTACACAAGTGTTGTTTCAGAAGGATCGATTGTCCTCTGCAGACCCTCCAGAGATAGCTTGTCTCTGTGGTGTTTATTTTAGTCCATCGTTGATTTGGTAGTGGAGATCGGCAGATAAGGCGGTGTCACTCCGTATGTTTGAAATTAGTACTGACCAGGAAGAGGTGATTATCTGAACAGAATTGTAGAGGACAATGACTGTTATCCGTTCGTCTGCATGGAATTCCCTAGATACCGCCAATATACTTCTCTAATTGACACAGCTTCCCTAATTGAGCATTGAAGCCGTCTGCTAGAACAACTGCATCTGAGTGTTTGCTCTCAGAAGCAAACTAGACAACTTTTCATAGAACTCATTCCTTACTTCGTTCGAATTACAGTCGATTGGAAGGTGTAACTGGAGAGTATGAAAACATATTACGAAAAGTAAAGCTTCAGTTTTGTTGTAAGCAGATTCAGATTATTTTGAAGGTGATCGGATCGTCTTATCCTAGTTTGGAACTCATCGGCAGTACGCAGCCACCGGGGTTCGAACCCAAGACCTTCCGGTTACAAGGCAAGCTCGTTGTCCACTCAGCCATTATTGTTTGAGAGCTTGTCATAATTAACAATCTAATAGTTGGCGAGCATACTCGCTGTCAAATTCAGATAGTAATTATCTATGTGAAAATATGCAGTATTAAATCTTTTTTGAAATTTTACAGTACTTAAAACTGGTGACTGTACATGTGTAATAGACTTTATAATTTAATTACGATTTTATTAAACTTGTGTAGATGTATACTGACTAGTTAAATTGGCAGGAGCCTGTATCTGCCCTCATCCTAGCAGGCAAAGTTGTTTACAAGTTCATGTAATCTAAGCAGTTATTTGGGTGCTGGCGGGGTGTGTGTATGACAGATGAAATCTCTAACCGTATAGTGAAAGCTAGTTCGGCATACACCAATTTCGGGCATCTCTGGCTTTGTCTCGACATCAGTCTGACTGTCAAAGGTTGGGTTTACCATGCCTTAGTGGTTAAAGTCTTGCAATACACTTTTGAAACCATGGCTTTTCCAAGCTGAGGATGTATGTCAACTCTGTCTACCCGATCGTCGCTGTGTACGATGGTAAGTAATTCTAAGGCCTTGGTTTGCAACGTATATTTGGACACTGTGGAGGTCACATTTCACTGAGGTTGGTCATGTTGGAACACCGGCTTCTATGGTTTGGACACGTGCTACGAATGTTGTCTTAGCGGCTTCTCTAACTCTAAGACTGAATGGAAGAAGTGGAGAGTTTGTTGGCCTATGACGTAGTGCCATAGAGCGACGGATATTTGTGTCAGATTAACATCCGTTGATACATCACGACTACCTGGGTGAGGTAGTCCCCATTTCCCTTGTATATTGATGTTTTATTTTTGTGCCACACATCTCTTGATGCACACGTTGTAGCAAGTCTGTGTTTGGAATAATAATAGTAATGTTATTGAAATATTAAATGGTTGTACATAGTAAGATAGGGATGGTTTCGAATGGCTTTCTGTACGACTTGTGTTCTGCCGTATTCTTTTAACGATTTCCTCCTCGTCCTCCTCACAATAGGTCTGAACGTCTTGCTAAAAAGTATTGGGAAAAATTATTTAAAGAATACTGTCTTGTCGATTTATCACGCTACAAGGAAAATAAAGTACGTTTTAACCATAAACATATATATATATTTTTCTTTTGATATAACTAAAAAACCGATATTAGTGTATTGAATTAGCTTTTATATGTGTATCTTTTGTCTGATATTCTTTCATGTAAATAATATAACCAGTATCAAGTCAAAATATGTGTCACAGAGATTTTTTATACAACTTTAAAGCATACAGCGTCATTGGATTTTGCAAGCCAGTAGTTGGAATTTTCAACCAGCTAACTTCATAACGTGGAGAGGTCTTGGGTTCGATGCCATATATGGTTATGGTGTCTGTCCCCCTACTCCCCTGGTTTACAATGGTTCTCTAACTTAAGTCATTTTGTGACCTCTTAGGAGATCATTTAACGAAGAGAAAGTATTATAATTATTATTGTTGTTCTCTTGAGTTTCGGGTGGAACGCAGGGCCTCAACAACACGTCTTCACTTTGTTCTATTTTCTGCCATTCTCGTCAGCTGGGTTCACGATTCCCCATAATCTCACAACTCCTCCATATCACCCTAGAACTCTAGCGATGGCCTGCATTGCGCACGATGTCATTCGACGGTTTCCTCAATGTATGCCCGATCCACCTCCTTATTCTCCTCCATATTTGTTGAGTGACCGGCTCTTGATTAGTTTGTTCCCAGAGTTTCTTGTTGCTTATTCTTTCTGGTCGGCCATTTGATCTTCAGTATGGAGCCAGCGAAGTGGGCAGCTGTTGGTAAAAGTCTGCAACAGGCTGTTGGAAATCCTTTTCGTGACACGCTGGCCAAGTTTCTGAGCATTATAGAAGGATTGACTTGACACTGGTGTTGAAAATCCGAATCTTGTTCTTTATGCTGGTTGAGTGAGTGCAGAAGATTTCCAAACTGGTGTCAGGTTAATGAAGGCGTATCTTGCCTTTCCGATTCTGACTATGATATCTTCATCCGTTCCGTCTGTAGTTGAAAGTGCGCTTCCTGTCTGGATAAGTGAAGGAGGTAACCTCTGTTAAATCTCTCCCGTTGATAGCGATTGGTGCTGGTTGTTGTTGTTGCTTCTGTTGCTGTTGTTTGGTTATCTTCATCACCTCCGTTTTCTCTGTGTTCACCTGCAGTCCTGTCTTTGCTGCCTCTTCAGCAAAGAAAAAACAATGGAGTTACACATGAGACTACCTGTTAGTTGCACTGTAGTGCAAAGCGGTTGAATTTGAAAAAAATAAAATAAGCAATTATGACCAAATTTAATAGTTGATAAACATGGTTTTCACCTTGAAATTCGATGAGGTTATCGAAATAACATTTGATATTATTATGTAGTAATCTTTATTGCCTTGGTTTATATATATGTAAACATCTTGGTATGTGCTTTACTCCGTTTAAGCGCAAAGTACTGTTACAATATTGGCAAAAGCATGTACCTGCACTTGCTCTTGCAGGTGAACCGCTTGAAGTTGTTGATAAGTTTGTGTATCTGGGTAGTTGTGTAGGTGCTGGCAAAGGGGTCACGGATGAGATTTCCAACCCTATCATGAAAGCTAGGATGGCATACATCAACTTGAGCAACCTTTGGCGCCGTCGCGACGTTAACCTGGCTATCAAAGGATGGGTTTAGAATGCTTCGGTGCGGGCTGTCTCGCTCGACGCCAGTAAAACCTGGCCTTTCTGAGGTTAGGATGTGCCGGGGACTCTGATTATTCGATCATCGCCGTCTCCACAGGATTGCTTGAGTTCTATGGCATCATCGTGTGAGTAATTGTGAGGTCAGGCAGCGTGTGTTTGGACACGGTGGATATCACCATTCGTTGATTGTTGTCATCCGGAAACACTGGATCCAGTGGCTTGGACATGTGCTGCAAATGTCATCCCTGAGGCTTCCGTATCGGTCTGTGTTCGTTAGCCTTGGGATGCGATGGAAAAAGCAGAGAGGTGGTCAGCCCATGACGTGGCGTCGTGGGATGAAGGATATTTGTGTTAAGTTTGCATCGGTTGGTGCATCACGACTCCCCTGGTTGAGGTTCGAGAGACGTTGGCTCGAAATGTTATCGGATATGGCCAAAAATAGCAATCAGTGGCGAACGCGCTTCAATTTCTTTCTCTCTTCTCTTTCCGACGAGAGGGGGGAATTAGAAAAAGTCGACACCGAAAATTATATATCCTAACTTACCTTGTGGCGGTCTGTAGCCACCGGTAAGGTTTCAATACGGACATAACTCCAGAAGCCACTTCAAACAATCCGTGTGTGGCCAGTCTCAAGTAGTTGTCCGCCGAGATCTGCTTCTTTCTTAAGTGGCACAAGAAGGAATCAACTTTTGTAGTGTGGGAAGCCGGCAAGTGGTAACCACTCACACACTTCCATAGGCACACAAAGCTTTCCTAGCCATCTTTCATCTTCACCTCACCCCCCATCACTTCCATCATCTTACAAAGTATGTAAATAGCCCTCAATGAAAATTATTATTGATAGTTATATTCATATATATTAGTGACTTTTTCAGTTGCTTAGATCTGATAGGATGTATAAATAATTCAGATAACTTGAAATAATCCACGTTTTGTAGTTTTTAAGAAATTAGCAACTTTCAACATAATCACTTATTTGACTGTTTACATTTTTTAAAATTTTATTTTCAGTTTGGTATGAGATGGCGATTAGAAAAAGAAGTGATTTCTGGTAAAGGTATGTGTCTTACAAAACTGTATATATTATATATGGTCCAACCTTTCCTCTTTACCGAACTTAGTACCGGCTAAGTGAGGTTTAGGACGTTTGTTGGCTGGGGGTCGAACCCGGACCGTGTGTGGCGTAGTTGGCGAGCATTCTACCGCTGAATCACATATGCACTATACTACATGTATATATCACTTACTGACTTGTGGGACATTGGCTCCATTAATTTGAGTTATAGACTGTCAACTAGTAGAGGTTACAGCCGGGGAAAACGGCTTCACTAACCGAGGTTTGAGCAGTCAGGTAGCGTTATATCATACAGAAGGCTTGTTTGGCATTTGTCCGCCAACTTACACCATCTCTTGCATAGACGCGATATCCGGTTGACTGGCGATCATAGGATGTGTGTACTGCTTAGCAAAGCAGTTCGCTCCGTCCTCCTTTATGGTTGTGAAGCTTGGCCGTTGAAAGTGGAAGACATGAAATGGCTAGGTATCTTTGACCATAGGTGCCTGCGTGTGAAGTGCTTTAGCAGGGTGAGCAATATTGAGGTTAGGCATCGAGTGCTAGGTAGGTGCGGGGGGGGGGGGGAATCAATCGACGAGGCTATGAAGTTACACCGATTGAGATGGTTAGGACATGTGTTACGTATGCCTAGCCATAGCCTTCCTCGACAATGGTCAATGTTAGATGACTGAAATACGAAGAGGTTGGAAAAGAGCCAGTGGTGGTCAAACCAAAACATGGCTTCATCAATCAATCAAATCCGTAACAGTTAGTTTAAGCCTCCAAACCACGTAGGAAGGTGTGAACTTCCTCACTGGTTGGGGTCATCAAGATGGTAAGAACCAATGCAGTGAATAAATCTGCTTAGTTAGGACTGCACTTTACTACTTAAATTATATGATATAAGTTTGTATAGTTATTAAATCACTCTAATTTGGTACATTAAGGGCACCAAGAGAGGCGCAACACAAAATCTCATAAGTTTGTATGGGGATGGAATACTTCCTGAACCCGAGGTTGGTGGTTGTCTCAATAAGAGGTCACGATCCCCTCGAGCCTTTGATTTGAAGTCTGATCATGACACAAGGCAATGGAAGCAGCCTCATGAACCACGTTTCTATAGTTTCTGGTGACCGAAACTCGTTCATGTACCATTTAATCCTTTCTGTTTCTGGAACCTATGTACGTCACATAGGTTGTCAATTGGGGTTTTCCATCTCGGCTGTGTAGAAGTGGACACCTGGATGTTCACCAGTCTGGTTGTAGGCTCCAGACGTTCGGATTCACCCCGTAACTTTTTTGAGGAACAGTACCGCCGCTGAGTTAAGGCTATGCATTGTACTGTACATTAAATGATAGTGTCTATTTTCTAGGCGTAAAATGAATCTGGCTTAAACTTGATACCAAGTACTTCTAGCGGTGATTATCAATAGTCCTAACTTTGATGTTTGTTTGTCTGTCAACAGTGTTCTCATTAAATATTTTACATACACATATATATTTTTAGGTCAATTCGCTTGTGGAAATGTAGCCTGTCCAGCTGGTGCAGAACGTCTACGGAGTTGGGAAGTGAATTTTGTCTATCAAGAACGCGGGGAACGACGTAATGCTTTGGTGAAAGTACGTTTATGCCCCGCATGTTCTGATAAATTGAACTATCGGTATAAGTAAGTCTCTCCTTTTGAGATCTTTTTTTTTTGAGAAATAATATAAATTGGGTGAACCACTATCAAGTCGTTTTTTCAGTTTCAGTTGAAATAATCATTTTGAGCACCTTTACCTTATAATACAGAGTATGGATGCTTCTGTCTGTTTTCGACATAGAACTCTCCACCGATGTGCAGCAGTTCAAGTCGCCACACTCCTCCCATATAGCACACAAAGCAAGAGAAGAAAGTAGAAGAAATGCATAATAGAGACAGTAAACAGAGGTGTGAGACAAAGGAATAACAATCACGAAGAACAATATAGTTTCATTAGAAATCACAAGGAGTGGATGCATATGCGCCAGTCACCAATTGTCTCCAGCCATTGGTTTTTACCATTCCGACGACCCCAACTGGGAAGTGTGCACCTTCCTACGTGGCTTAGACTAACTGTTGTAGATTTCATTGACTGGTGCCATGTTTTCGTTTGACCACCGCTAGCTCTTTTCCAGCCTGGCCCTATATTAGCTAACATTGCCCGTCGAGGAAGGCGATCGATGACTAGGGATACGTAACAGATGTCCTAACCAACTTTCCCAATCGATGTAACTTCACAGCCTCATCTATTGATTTCCCCTGCTTACGTAGCACTCGGCGCCTAACTTCAATATTGCTCAGCCTATTATACCATTTCACACGGGAGATCGAACGCAGGCACCTATGATCAAATACAGCTAGCTAGCGTATTCATGTCTTCCACTTTCAACGACTATGTCTCGTTCACAGCCATAAAGGAGGACAGAGAGGCCTGCTGAGCAGTACACACGCCCTTTGGTCGACAACCAGTCGGATATTACATTTACACCAGAGACGGTGTAAACTGGCATATGCGAAACTAGCCTTCTGTATCCGTACTGAGATTTTGTCAGTGATCAACCCGTTGGCATTGGCTGATGCAACTTCCCTAATAAGTGAAGTGGTCAACGTGCTCTGCCACTTCACTCCCTATTTCTAAACTAGGGGTCAGTGTAGTCCAGTCCTGTAGCATCGTCTTATATTTGGCGGAAGCGAATCGCATGCCAAACATTCGAAGATTGTAGCTCAAGGTGTTCAGAAGACTCTGCATTTTGTCAGCGTCCTCGCCTAGAAGGACTGTATCGTCTGCATATTTTAAGTCAACAAGATTATTCCCTGGTAGCAAGTCAATCCATGAGTCTCGGAAGTGAGTTAGGGTTAAATCCATTAGTACATCTATGATGAAATTGAATAGAGATGAGGATAATGGGCATCCCTGACGGACACCACTCGTCGTCACCACTTCAGATGACAACTCACCGTAGGCCCTCACCTGGCTGCATGAGTTCGAGTAGAATGCCTTGATCAGTGCGGATGCTTCGGCGATTGAGGATTAACACTGAGGTAATTTGGTTGTCCACTATTTGGGTCTAGTGGGTTCGAGTCTCAGTAGGTGCACCATTACTCACTCACCCACCCACTGGGATCACAAGTGCACCCTCCCGGAGAGTATTATACATAGAAGGATATTCTCATCTTCGACTCCATTGTTAGTCACCATCTACCGAACATCTTTACCTTGAACTTTGGACGTCTAACTGTTGGTGCTTTGTTTGTTTGTTTTTCGGTTGGTTAGTCTTTTGTTGTTTGAATTACTCTTCTTCTACTCTGCTTCATTCTGACGGGATTTGGCTTAAGAAATTTGAATTGAGCTAATCGGAGCAGTCAATCATTTATCTACATTGACTCCTAGCTTAGAAATAGGGAGTGAAGTGGTTAATGGAGCGTGTTGACCACTTCACTTATTTGGGAAGTTGCATCAGTCTCAACGCCAGCGGGTTGATAGCTGACCAAATCTCAGCACGGATACAGAAGGCTAGTTTCGCATATGCCAGTTTACACCGTTTCTGGCGTAGACAAGATATCCGGCTGGCTGTCGACCAAAGGGCGTGTGTACTGCACAGTGGCAGTCCGCTCCGTCCTCCTTTATGGATGTGAGTGAGACCTGGTCATTGGAAGTGGAAGACTTTAAAAAGGCTGGTTGGCTGTCTTTGATCATAGGTGCCTTCGTTCTGTCTCCCATATTAAGTGGTGGTGAGTAATATTGAGGTTAGGCATCGGTCGAGTGCTAGGTAGGAGGGAGGGGAAATGAATAGACGAAGCTGTGAAGCTACATCGATTGAGGCGATGGTTAAGACATGTGTTACGTATGCCTAGTCATCGATCGCCTTACTCGATGGGCAATGTTAGCTGACATAGGGTCAGGCTGGAAAAGAGACACTGGTGGTCAAACGAAAACATGGCACCAGTCAATGAAATCCACAACAGTTGGTTTAAGCCAACCGCTTAGGAAGGTGTAGACTTCCTGACTGATTGGGGTCCTTGGGATGATAAGAACCGATTACAGCTGGAGACAATTGTTGATATGGCTCAAAATCACCGTTCTCAATGGCTGGTGCAGATGCATCCACTCCTTGTCACTCATCATACCCAATGAAACTATATTGTTCTTCAATATTACTATTCTTTTTGCCCCATATCTCTGCTTACTGTCTCTACTTTGCATTTCTTTTTACTTTCTTCTCTTGTTTTGTGTGGTCCACATGGAGGAAGTGTGGTGACTCGAACTGCTGCATATTGGTGCAGAGTTCTGTGTTGAAACCAGTCAGTCAGTCATCTACTGAATTAATTGAATTTGTTTATTCTGACATATTGGAACAGTAATGGTTCCGCTTAATATTATTAGAGTTTTCTTCCTAGTTGGAATTCGGCTTTGGTGAGTTGTTTTTTTTTTGGCTGAGAAAATCAGACCACTTAGGATGGGAATATATTTGCAGACAACTCGACTTTGCTTAGGTTTTCGGCACTGATGGAATATGCTGTGTATAGTCATACTGGTACTATGAGATGTCTGGGGACACGTGCTACGCATATCGAGTCACCGCCTTCTTCATTAAGGGATGTTGTTAGCTGACATAGGATTAAAATGGAAAAGATTTAGGGGTGGTCAAATCAAAGTCTGGAACAGTAATAATAATAGTAATAAATTTTCTGTAGTTTGGTTTGTAAGGGTTAGTTTTGTTCTTACGAGTGACTTGCTACAGGATGGAGTTTCCTGGAGTTCTAGAGAGAAGTCGTGACCAGTGAGGTCCATCCAGAAGTCACGTGTGAGGATAGATGTCCCACCGACGACATTGGTTGGGGTCGCGCTTAATCACGAATTGGTAGAAGTTAGAATTCATGTACAGTAATCATCTGAAGTATATCATATGACGTAGTGTTATTAGCACTATATGAAGAGAGAACCAATCCTGTAAGTTTCTTCTTCATTTCCTTCAAGAATTGCACAACGTTTCGTTGAAAGCTAATTCAATATGTGCGCTAGTTCATGCGCAGTGATCATTTAATGTAATTGCATGATTTAAACAATAAAAAATTCAGAAGAGTTTAAACAGCATTTTAAATGGATAGAAATTTTATTAGCCTAGTGATTTAAGCAGACCGCCAATAAAATTCACCAAATCTTTGACAGTTGGTTTGTGTCACTTTGGAAGATTTAGACTGCCTCGTGTTTGATATAAGTATAAAACTTGGGCACTGTGGTGGAGTATAAATCCATAATGGATAAGATTTTATTTTGATAAATCACACAGTGTTGTTATGCAGTAATATTAACTGATGACCACGTTTCGAGCATAAACTATTGCTCATAATCATATCAAGTTACTCACACAACTTCTTCCCTTCATTTATATACATGTGTGGAATCGATTAGATATTGGAATAAAATTCAATATGAGATAATGTACATTCAGAAATAATAGTACGAGTGTTATTAATGCATTACACTTAGATGGGAAATACGATGAGTGTTTTATAGTCATAATAAGTTGATTGATAGAATGTTTTGATGTGTTTGAATTGAAACAGAATTTTGAGATTATTTATTATCCTCTTCTGATTTGACCGGCGGTAATAATATCTTCCATATTTCTGGTATTTGCATTGAGTCACTTCTGTTGCATGTGTTGGGTGTAGACTCAATGAACAAGGATTCCGTAATCAACCTCTCTCTCTCTCCACCTACCTATATTACTTTTTAGAATTTTAACCCTATCCCACCCTATTGTGTGGTATTTTGTTAATGCGTGAAGTGCAATAGCTGAGCTTTTTTCTAAATTACTTATCTTTTCAGGGTCAGTCATTTTTCCCTTAGCCAAATTCTTATGTTCTGATAATCTGACTATCCCTGACCTACTAGTTTGACCTATGTAGTTGACTTCACAGTCATTGCAGGGTATTTTTTAAATTATATTATTTTGCTTAATTGGGTCCAACGGGTCCTTCAACCTACAAAGCTTGTCTCTGAGTGAGTTTGTGGGTTTGAATGCCACCCTAATTCCTGCTTTATTGAGAATCCTACGTAGGGCCTCAGATGTCCCCTCCTTATATGGTATAACAGTAGAAGACTTATATTCTCTCTTATTTATGTTGTTACTACTAGTTACACAATTATTTTTATTTTGTTTTTGGCCTTTACTGATCTTCTTAATGAATATTGTAGGATAGTTATTTAACACCAACTCTTCTTCTATCTGTTTTATTTCGTCATTTAGGTCCTTTTTTGTGCTACTTAGTGCTATGGCTCGGTTTGTCAGACACTTAACTAAGCCTGCCTTAACAGTTAACGGATGAGACGAATTAAAGTCTAAATATCTATTAGAATGCGTTGGTTTTCTATAAACACTAGCGTGTAGTGTACCTTCTTCTATTCTTTTTATTTTACAATCTAACATCATAGCTAATTATCCTTGTTCATTTTCGGCTTCAAATGTTAATTTTATTCCCTTTACTAGTGAGTTTATATGTGTGTTAAGAAGCTAGAGATATGTTCTGTTTTTAACACTGTGAAAGTGTCACCTACATATCTCCACCATATTTTTGGCGTAGGATTAAATGTATTTAGAGCACTATTTTCCCAGCTGTCCATAAAGATGTCTGCTACAATAGGGGATATTGGTGATCCACCCCATTGCGACACCTTCTGTTTCTTTATATATTTTGCCTTGGAATTTAAAGATAGTAGATGTGAGGCATAACTGAATCCCTAAAATAATTTCTTCTATGGGCAGCTTTGTCCAATGACTAAGTTCGGAATCAGAAGTTAGTTTGAAGTCTTCAGAACGCTAAGAATCAATGACTTGAGACTGTTAGTTGGTGATATGTTTCCAAATTGTTCTGAATGGCTTTCAGATACCTTCATTCATTTGTAATCTCCTAGATACATTGGTATTCTTTCCCCCCGCCACCCCACAAATCTGCTCTTATTTATCTCATTTATCTACCTTTGTGTGCTAAATGGAGTGTGGTAGAGTTGAACTACCTCACTTCTGTTCTGGAACTCAGTCATACTAGAAAATGTTTTGAAGGCTTAACCTGTTTTTAGTATTTTAAATTGTGTTACCATGCCTCCTGGGTTCGATCCCCCTGACCGTCGCTATGCTGGTTGTAAAGCTGGTAAAAAGGGAAGGTTGGGCGTGGGGCTAGAAACCCTACCCCGAAACTTCAAAGCACTAACTTAAAGCCCTATGTTACACTCGGGTGTTAAAGGAATGCAAAAAATGCCTCAGTGGTTCGTTCAGTGGTAAAATTATCCACCAGTCAATCACATGGTCCAGGTTCTATTTCTGTCACGTCCGACTCACTGATAGACCCTTGCTTAGCTGGTAATCAGCAGGGTAAAGAGGCGTTGGGGTTGGATTTAAGGTCAGCACACCGCACACTGTAAATGAACAAAACCCCATCGCTGGTGAGACTTCAAAGCTGACTCAAGCTTGGAACTCACTGCTGCAGTCGGTATGCAAACGAAATGAAAATAGTGTATAGTATTATGGATCTGTTTGGTCTCAAAGCACAATTCTCCAAAAAACAAATTATTCAGCAAACTGTTTTAGGCCATGAATCACTGAGTATCCGTTTTGTTTTGGCTTGAGAATTCGTAAGTGTTGTGCACCTGTAGTCTTTCTTCCAAAAAGTGGAACTTACGACTGTTACGAGTTAAGTAGTACGTCTTCAACTAGCTATTGGCACAAAACATTAACTTCTATTATTCTTCTTGTGTATATGACTTCATTTACGACATAGTGGATTCTACTGGTCCTCCATGTTATTGGAAGATGATGGTGGCGTTAACCTCACTGGTGGTCATTTAAATTTGGAAATCATGGGCTATATCGATGTAGCAGCTCAATGCTGTGGTATTCACCTCTTGACCCGAAGGTCCAGCGTTCGACTCTTAAGCAGATCATAATTTGGTATTGTTATAAAACTCTAAACTGAAGTGAATGACACACATATAAAATGCTTCTCAATAATATCCCTCTGTCTTAAATTGGCTTCTAATGAAATCTTTAAAATATTCGTTTATTTGATTGTACTACTAACAAGTAGTTAAGATTGTTCTATTTAATTTTTTAGCGACACTCACATATTAAGTTAGCAGTGTGTGCGTATCTATGCAAAATTAATGACTCGTTAATTCCTCAGTGATAATTCAAAAATTAGTAGATCATGTTTTGTTTAGTTTCATTATAGGTGTACTCATGGAATGAAGTCCTAATTGACTTCAACGAGCTAGGGGGGTTGACTTGTTGTTGCGAGGCAACAGTCTTGTTGACTTTAGATTATGCAGATTATGTTGTCCTCCAAGGTAAAAACATTGAAAAAACGGAGAGTTTTCTGGATACTTTGGGCACAATACTTGATGTGTTTGCTATGCGATTTTCCCCTGTCAAATGTAAGATGATACCTGATGACTGGACTGGACCCGACTCCTAGTTCTAAAGATCAGGAGTGAAGTGGTGAAATATGTGGATGACTTTAATTATTTAAAAATTGGTACCAGTCCAAATCCGATGATTGCTCCCGAAATCTTAGCACGGGTAATGAAGGCTTGTTTGGCATCTACCAAAACACTTCATCTCTGGCGTAGACATGATATCCGGATATAGATGACTTATATTCTCTCTTATCTATGCTATCATTATTAGCTTCACAATTATTTTTCTTTTTCTTTTAGCCTTTACTGATCTTCCTAATGAATTCTATAGGATAGTTATTTGATACCAACGCTTCTTCCTTCTATTTTATTTCATCATTTAGGTCTTTTCTTGTGCTACTTAGTGCTAGTGCTCGGGTTTGTTAGACACTTAACTAAGCCTGCCTTAACAGTTAACGGATGAGATGAATTAAAGTCTAAATATCTATTAGAATGCATTGTTTTTTTTATAAACGTTAGTGTGCAGTTTACCTTCTTTTATACGTTTTATTTTACAATCTAACATAGCTAATTCTCCTTGTTTATTTTCCTATTCAAATGTAAGTTTTATTCCCTTCACTATTGAGTTTATGTGTGTGAAGAAGCTAGAGATATGTTCTGTCTTCAACACTGTGAAAGTATCATCCACATATGTCCACCATATTATCTTTGGAGTAGGATTAAATGTATTAAGAGCAATATTTTCCCAGCTGTCCATACAGATATCTGCTACGATAGGGAATATTGGTGATCCACCTCATTGCGACACCATCTGTTTGTTTATATATTTTGCCATGAAATTTAAAGAAAGTAGATGTGAGATAGCATAACTGAATTCCTAAAATAATTTCTTCAATAGACAGCTTTGTCTTATGAGTGACTTCAGCATCTGCCATTAGTTCTTTTTTAACTGCTTCTAAGGCCATATTGACTGGTATATTAGTATAAAGACTGGTTATATCAAAACTAACCATCGTTTCATCATTCTCTAGTTGAATGTCATTTAGTTTATTTTTCATCTCATGTAAATTAGTTAATCTAGAGTTTGAGCGATTTCTAATGGGGCATAATATTAGAGCTAAATGTTTTGATAATACATGAGTAGGCGTATTTCTGAAATCTACTATTGGTCTTATGGGATAACCTGGCTTATGTATTTTAATAGTACCATACATCCTACTAGCATTATTAGTTTTAGGCATTAAATTAAACCATTTAGACTCACCCAGTGATGGCTTCATTCTGCGTATTAATTCCGCTGCAGATTTCTTAACCTTATTGATTATTGTATTTACAGGCTTCTTAATTTCTTCATATGAACCCGTCTCAATATGTTCAGTGACTTTCTTTGTATAGTCAGATTTATCCAAAACTATTGTGGAGTTTCCTTTGTCAGCTTGACGTCATTAGTATGCCGCATGTCTTCTCGATCCTCATGCACGATCTATTGCATGATCCAGCCTATTATTATTATTGTTTCCTATAATTCTTCGAGGAACATAGGGCTTCAGCCGTGCGTCTCCATTGCGTTCGGTTCTCTGCTAGAGTCTTCACCTGTCTCCAAGTCTGCCCACACGTTTTCATCTCCTCTTCACATGACCTCCTCCAAGTCACCCTTGCACTGACGACCAACTCGCCGCTTCCCTTTCGGTCGGGTTTCACTCGAGCAATGGCTTGTCTAGTGATGTCACTTGATGGTTTCCTCAGAGTATGACCAGCCAATCCACCTCCATTTCTTCCTGCCTATTTGTTTCACAGCCTGTTCCTGGTTGGTTCGCTCCCAGAGATCTCTGTTGCTGATATTTTCTGGCTGGCCATCTGATCTTGAGTATTGAGCGAAGACAACTGTTAATGAAGGTCTGTAGTTTGCTTGAGATGCTCTTTATGACGCGCAGTGCAAGTCTCTGATCCGTATAGTAGCACTGACTTCACATTGGAGTTGAAAATCCGGATGTTATTTTTGATGCTGAGTGCTTTTGACCTCCATACAGATTTGGGAGTAATGAAAGCTTGTCTTGCTTTCGCGATCCTTGCTTTGATATCCTCGTCAGTTCTGTCTGCCTGTAGTTGAGACGATGCTTCCCAGGTAGGTAAAAGAAGTTGTTTCTTTCAGGTTCTTCCCATTTATGCTGATTGTTGTCTGTTGTTGTTGTTGCTGTTGGTGGTGTTGTCCAGGAATCTTCATCACCTCTGTTTTCTCTATAACAATCAGGAATATCATCGGTGATAGTAGGCGGCAATCTTTTCTTACACTCCTATCACCTCACTTCAAAAGCTTCACTGAGTTTTCCATTGTGGATCTTTTGACATGTAACATTGTCTCATACATCTGATGAATAACGTCAGAAATGTTCGGTGGAAAGTGTTGCATATTTTCTGTCAACAGTCTTATTTAAAAACTACAATTATTCTCTGGGTGCTTTTCCCCTTTCTTCTCCTTTACAGAAGGCGCGATGTTACTGGGCAACGAATTAGCTCTGAGCAGGATAAAAATGATACTGAAAGTAAACGTCAACAAGAAACAAGCGGCGATGATGATGATAATGATCATAAGGAATCTGCAGCGAAACGTCCACGTAATTCCAGCGATCGAAATGACGATGATAATATTAATAATAATAACTCCGACAATAAAAACACATCAGATACTACTGATATCAATTCAGTATGGTGTAAATCAGCGCAAACATCACAAGGAAGTGGAAATCCCAGTGGCGCTGCTAATATCAGCAGTACATCGGGGAATATTAAGACACCGGATGATGAATTCGACGAATACTTTGCAGACATGTTAATGTAGCCTAATGATTTTTATTATTATTGTTGTTGTTATTGTTTAGACCTCACTTCTTCACATGAGCTCATCCTCACGGTCGCCTCTCCATTTACACCCACGCACACCCACACTCATAATTGTATTGTATATACTTGCATTATCTTCGTTTTTCCTCATTTTACCGAGCTTTTATCAATCTCTGTGCACATATCTCATTTCGCCGCATTCAGAATATTGTTTTTATCTTCTCGTGCGCTTCATGTAATCACTGTTATCGTTTGTGATGTGATATTTTTCGATACATATAGACTCTATCCTTTCCATTTTACGACAAGATATACGTACTATATGGTAAGCATTTTTGTTTGCTTTCTAAGTGTGATGATGGTCACGAAAGCAGCAATGTGTTCTGATCACGACAGACCGCTTTTTTGTCTGTCTTCTTTTCTTTGTTATTAAATTTGTATGTGTTTTTAAAAAAAAATTAGGCTGTACAATCATCAATCATAAAGTTTTAAAAAAGATCTTTCCTTCACAGTTGACTTTATAATTCATGAATAATTACGCTGTTCAAGTATGAATGAAAAGAACAAAACTGGCAGTTGTTCTTCGGCGAGGAAGTCGTTTTCGTGGTGAATTCCTTATTTCTCATTAGCTAGTTGTACAGTCAAATTTTGATATACAACGTTTTTAGAGATTCAGTCGTTTCGTCCTAGTTTGGGACGCTTCAGTAGTATCCACCCAGAGCACCAGCGTTCGAATACGGTTACAAGATGAGCTTGTACATCATTCCAGTAGTTCTCTAATTTAGAACAAGCAACAAATTTTGTTAATAAAGCAGGTTTTATTGATGGATTCATCGAGTTACGGTAGAAATACTCTTCAGCTGCTAAATACTCTACATAAGGGGATATATGTATACTATTGAAATTACATTGGTAGATATAAGACTGACAAGCAAATAAACTACATTGAATTATTCATGCAAAACGACACGTGTGAATGTTTTTCAGATCATGTTCAAATAGATAAATGGGAGAGGGGGTATGAGAGATTAAAATTAAGGTAAAATGCAGTACGCTTCAATTATATCACTTAGATAAACAATAAGTCATTAGAAAATATATCAGGAATTGCGAACAGAGTAACATCAATAGTAATAGTCATAATAATAATAATGTTGAAGTGAGTTAAGATAGTGCTACTGATAAAGGATAGTTTTAAATGAATCAATAATAATAATAAGAGGTAGAATAATAAGTAAAACGTATTACCATGGTAGATTCAGAGTGACGACGATCTCCTTTTGTACACAGAGATCATCGGGTTTTTCAACCACTTTGCTGGATGCTCCATCATGCAAGTAGACAATCACCTTTCTGTACGACCTATGTGTTTGCTTCCACAAACACACTTATCAAATTGATATACGCAGTTTGAAGTGTCGAGGATTGGCGAGTACTGGTCTTTCCCAGATTGCTGAAGCAGTCACTTAGTGGTGTTAAGGAAAACAAGTTTTGCAGCATAATAAGTTCTCTTGATAGCTTCATTGAGTCTTCGTTTGACTACTCCCTGTACATCATCTCCTTTGAATGGCAAACTGATATAGACAGATTTCTTCGGAACTGTTTGGATTGTTTTGCAGGGGCTCGTTTCTTTAGAGTATTTATTAATGAACTTCTCAGGTAAAATACCCTTCAAAGCCTTTATTTCATGTTCAGCTTTACTGTGATAGCAAATTTTCCGTGCTCTATTGAACAGTGTTCTGACTAAGTTCTTTTTATACTGGATTGGAACAAAACTCTCAAAATGTATGTACTGTCATGTCCATGTAGACTTTCCAATTATCGGTCTTTCCATTGTGTTATTAGTCCTTTTCACTAGAGAAAGGTCTAGGAATTTAATAGTATCGTTTTCCTCGTGTTCTATTGTGAAATTGAGATTCGGGTGGCATGAGCTGAATTTTATCAACATGTCTTCAGCTTTTGATCTGCTTCCACAGACAATAAAAATGTCATCAACATATCTTAGGTATACATCCGTTTCTTGTAAATGTTGCTGTAAGGTACCAGCTTCTAGGCTTGACAACAATAAGTCTGTGAAAAGTGGTCCCAAAGGGGCTTCCCATTGCGACACCATCAACTTGACGGAATAGACGCCCGTCGAATTGGAAGTGGACATTTTTAGTACATACATTTTTAGAGTAGAGTAACAAATTAGTAATTACGGGGTGTCAAAATAAATAGTATTTATGGGTGACAAACGTGGTGGGTTGAATACAATAACAAAACATTGTGAAATGTGAGACATTGGTGGTGATTAGTCGTCATAAAAGACTCATACAATGTTGGCTGGGGTAGGAATAATTGACAAATCAGTTCAAGGTTATAAAAGGTGTCAGGTGAGTGGCTAGTATTAAAGAAGAGGTGTATTGTCGTTACACGGATGACACTTTTGTAGTGTACGATGAAGGGTTACGTAGTGATTTGATTTTCAGCAACTACAACAATGCTCACCCAACTGTCCATTTCACCTACGAAGGAGAATAAAACGACTCTATTCACTCTCTCGACGTCATATTAACGAGAAGAGATGATGGTTCTCTCAAAAGAACCATATTTCGAAAGCTAGAGATCAAACCTCAGTGTACACACTTTCTAAGCTTCATACCTATGAAATACAAACGCAATCTGATCAGGTGCTTAGCATTTAGAGCCAGGTCCATTTGTTCAGTAACAAAAGTGATGGATGAGTTGCCATAGTTACATAATTGTTAACATTAATCAATACATAAGAAGTACTTTGATTGGTTACTGGCTAGTAACTAGTGTCATACGCCTAGTCCTTTGTTTGGTGCAGAATGAATTCTATCAGTCAATTTTCGCAATGTGGTCAGCATTCTACGTGGCTTGCCAACACGTGCACTGCACTTTGAATTATTGATATTAGATGGTTGGAAGCAATCTGAAGGAACCGTTGGACGTAGGTTTCTTGCTAGCTTGCACTCATCAATCAGCAAGGAGTAACCGCAACCTTGAAGGATCTCATTTCCTTTCTGAGATTCGGACTCGGGTTTGATTTCTGACCGCAACACTAGATGAAGTGAGCTGGGTTCCTTCAAGATTGGAAATAAATCTTTCATGCTGACGGGGATTAAGAAGCACGAAACTTAGATCGAAGGCTTTCTACAGATTACCTGTATTCATCTATGAATAAACAGTATATTATGTAACCGAAGAACGTTTTCATCATTATTATGTCCTCAAAGCGATTCCTACTTGTACACAAATTGCGTATGAATTATTAATAGACAACACTAATCGATTGTTAACTTTTGAGTCCTTTAAACATGAGCAATTTGAAAAAGATTGTGTTTCTTTTGGACAAATACCCAACCATCTAATATCAACAGTTTACAGTACAATGCGCAGTGTGATGGCAAGCCACCTAGTGGCATGGTTGCCACATTGCAAACTTGACTGATGGAATTCAGTCTGTACCAAAGGATGGACTAGATGCCGCATAACACTAGTTACTAACTAGGGTCCAATCAAAAGAATCCAATACAGTCCTACAGGAGGTCAGTTGCGAATCTGAATAGCTCAGTGATAATCTGAGAGAGAGTTTTAAAAAGTAATATGGTTAGGTGGAGAGACAAAGAGGTTAATCACCGAGGCTTTGTTTATCGATTCAACACAACACACATACAATCGGAATAACGCAATGCCTATACCGGATATATACATATATCATAAGTTGTGAAACCGTGTGACTAAAATTGAAATGATTTAATTGAATTTTAGATTTTCCCGTCGATTGATTGGACCAAAGTGGTCAGCCTCACGTTGACATGTCGGCCTGTTCTTGTGCAGATGCTTCGACGATGTCTGGGCATGTAATTCGAAGTTAATTGGTGGATGGTGGCTCTCGTGGCCCAAGTGGTCTAGTGGATAACGCTTTGACTGGCGTTTGAAACTATGGGCACTGAGTTCGAGCCACGGTGGGAACACAGTCATCACTCACTCGCTGGGAAATGCAAGTACATCCAGCTGACGGACGAGTCCCAAATAGGACGAAATGTGCATTATTCTGGATTCCACTGCTATTCACCATCCACCAATTAGAAGTGCTTTGATTGTTATTACTGTATCATCACTGTATGATATTTAAAATAACCTTATCTGGTATGGAATTACATTCTACCATGGTGTCCAACTTCTACACTTAAATTAAAGGATACAGGAAACGTCTTTTCAAACTGTTGGATTTCGAAAGAGTTGACAATGAAGAGGCTGACAGTATTAAGAGGGTATACTAGAAGAGGATATATTTGGATCGAGATCACTGAAAAGTATTCAGGATGATGAGGAGGGAAAACAGATCTACATTATTGTGATTGATTTCAAATCACATCACAAAAGGTATTCGAACATATGTACAATATCACAAAAATTTCATACTAACAACCAGCCCATCTCATTGTATTCATCAATTTTAATCCTTTATTTAACGAAATTTTTGATGTGAGCAATCATTAGTGGTAAGAGAAGGAAGGTGGAAGGAAGGAAGACTATGCTATGGACTTAGAATATATGCAGATGACATAGTCCTTTTAGGGGAGGACGCTGACAAAATGCAGAGTCTTCTGAACACCTTGAGCAGCAATCTTCGTATGTTTGGCATGCGATTCACTTCTGTAAAATGTAAGATGCTGCTACAGGACTGGACTACGTCAACTCCTAGCTTAGTGAAGTGATAGAACATGTTGACCACTTCACCTATTTGAGAAGTTGTATCAGCACCAACGGATTGATTGGTGACGAAATCTCAACACGGATCCAAAAAGCTCGAGCTGCTTTCGCTAACTTACACCGTCTCTGGCGTAGGCGTGACATCCGGTTATCAACCAAGGGACGTGTATACTGCTCAGCAGTTCGCGCCGTCCTTCTCTATGGCTCTGAAACATGGCCAATGCGAGTTGAAGACATGAAAAGGTTGACTGTTTTTGATCATAGATGTATGTCTACGATCTCTTTCTCGCGTTAGATGGTATAATAAAGTAAGTAATGTTGACGTTAAGCGTAGAGTGTTGGGCAAAGAGGCAAAATCAATTGAAGAGGCTATAAAGTTACATAGATTGAGATGGCTAGGTCACGTGCTGCGCATGCCTAACCATTACCTCCCCCGACGGACGGGCATTACTAGCTGATATAGGTGCAGGTTAAAAGAGAGTAAGTGGTGGTCAAACAAAAACATGGGGCCCTCGGGACTTTAAGAATCAATGGCTGGAGACAATAGGTGACATGGCCCAAAATCGTTGTCAATGGCTTACGCAGATGTATTCAGTCTCTGTAATCTTTCATATTCGTTTCTAGCATTACTCATTCTGTTTCACTCTTATA